ACTAACAGCAGCGTCCCCGGCTGCTGCCTTCAGGGACCGTCTCTGTTCAGCTCTCTGTGTCCGCCCGGACTCAACAAGACCGTCCAGCTCCTCAGCAGCATCATCCTCCCTCACCTGCACCACAGGTAACCCCTCCCACACCTCCACCACAGGTAAACTATATCACACCTGCACCACAGGTAACCCCTCCCACACCTCCACCACAGGTAAACTATATCACACCTGCACCACAGGTAACCCCTCCCACACCTACACCACAGGTAACCTCTCCCACACCTACACCACAGGTAACCTCTCCCACACCTCCACCACAGGTAAACTATATCACACCTGCACCTCAGGTAACCCCTCCCACACCTGCACCACAGGTAACAACTCCCACACCTACACCACAGGTAACCCCTCCCACACCTACACCACAGGTAACCCCTCCCACACCTCCACCACAGGTAAACTATATCACACCTGCACCACAGGTAACCCCTCCCACACCTCCACCACAGGTAAACTATATCACACCTGCACCACAGGTAACCCCTCCCACACCTACACCACAGGTAACCCCTCCCACACCTACACCACAGGTAACCCCTCCCACACCTCCACCACAGGTAAACTATATCACACCTGCACCACAGGTAACCCCTCCCACACCTACACCACAGGTAACCCCTCCCACACCTGCACCACAGGTAACCCCTCCCACACCTCCACCACAGGTAAACTATATCACACCTGCACCACAGGTAACCTCTCCCACACCTCCACCACAGGTAAACTATATCACACCTGCACCACAGGTAACCCCTCCCACACCTGCACCACAGGTAACAACTCCCACACCTACACCACAGGTAACCCCTCCCACACCTGCACCACAGGTAACCCCTCCCACACCTCCACCACAAGTAACCCCTCCCACACCTCCACCACAAGTAACCCCTCCCACACCTCCACCACAAGTAACCCCTCCCACACCTCCACCACAAGTAACCCCTCCCCACACCTCCACCACAAGTAACCCCTCCCACACCTCCACCACAAGTAACCCCTCCCACACCTCCACCACAAGTAACCCCTCCCCACACCTCCACCACAAGTAACCCCTCCCACACCTCCACCACAAGTAACCCCTCCCACACCTCCACCACAAGTAACCCCTCCCACACCTCCACCACAAGTAACCCCTCCCCACACCTCCACCACAAGTAACCCCTCCCACACCTCCACCACAAGTAACCCCTCCCACACCTCCACCACAAGTAACCCCTCCCACACCTCCACCACAAGTAACCCTCCCACACCTCCACCACAAGTAACCCCTCCCACACCTCCACCACAAGTAACCCCTCCCCACACCTCCACCACAAGTAACCCCTCCCACACCTCCACCACAAGTAACCCCTCCCACACCTCCACCACAAGTAACCCCTCCACACCTCCACCACAAGTAACCCCTCCCCACACCTCCACCACAAGTAACCCCTCCCACACCTCCACCACAAGTAACCCCTCCCACACCTCCACCACAAGTAACCCCTCCCACACCTCCACCACAAGTAACCCCTCCCACACCTCCACCACAAGTAACCCCTCCCACACCTCCACCACAAGTAACCCCTCCTCTGTCTGGTGTCCACAGCTCTCTCTCTGGGTGCACTATCCTCCTTCACGGTCCCGCAGGAAGCGGGAAAGTGACGGCGGTGAGCGCGGCGGGTCGCAGATTGAACCTCCACCTGCTCAAGGTACGACAGAGAAGTGACACAGTCCTCCACTGACATGCTGTTTGTACTGTGTCAGTGTGTGTGCTGTCACTTGTTGTCATGGTAACTCTCTCCTGTTGTAACCTGTACAGGTGGACTGTGTCAGTGTGTGCTGTCACTCATCGTCATGGTACCTCTCTCTTGTTACTTTTACAGGTGGACTGTGTCAATGTGTGTGCTGTCACTCGTCGTCATGGTAACACTGTCTCGTTGTTACCTGTACAGGTGGACTGTGTCAGTGTGTGCTGTCACTCGTCGTCATGGTAGCAGTCTCTCGTTGTTACCTGTACAGGTGGACTGTGTCAGTGTGTGTGCTGTCACTCGTTGTCATGGTAACTCTCTCCTGTTGTTACCTGTACAGGTGGACTGTGCCAGTGTGTGCTGTCACTTGTCGTCATGGTAACACTCTCTTGTTGTTACCTGTACAGGTGGACTGTGTCAGTGTGTGCTGTCACTCGTCGTCATGGTAACACTCTCTTGTTGTTACCTGTACAGGTGGACTGTGTCAGTGTGTGTGCTGTCACTCGTCGTCATGGTAACACTCTCTTGTTGTTACCTGTACAGGTGGACTGTGTCAATGTGTGTGCTGTCACTCGTCGTCATGGTAACACTCTCTTGTTGTTACCTGTACAGGTGGACTGTGTCAGTGTGTGCTGTCACTCGTTGTCATGGTAACACTCTCTTGTTGTTACCTGTACAGGTGGACTGTGTCAGTGTGTGTGCTGTCACTCGTCGTCATGGTACCTCTCTCTTGTTACTTTTACAGGTGGACTGTGTCAATGTGTGTGCTGTCACTCGTCGTCATGGTAACACTCTCTTGTTGTTACCTGTACAGGTGGACTGTGTCAGTGTGTGTGCTGTCACTCGCCGTCATGGTACCTCTCTCTCGTTGTTACCTGTACAGGTGGACTGTGTCAGTGTGTGCTGTCACTCGTCGTCATGGTACCTCTCTCTTGTTACTTTTACAGGTGGACTGTGTCAATGTGTGTGCTGTCACTCGTCGTCATGGTAACACTCTCTTGTTGTTACCTGTACAGGTGGACTGTGTCAGTGTGTGCGCTGTCACTCGTTGTCATGGTACCTCTCTCTCGTTGTTACCTGTACAGGTGGACTGTGTCAGTGTGTGCTGTCACTCGTCGTCATGGTACCTCTCTCTTGTTACTTTTACAGGTGGACTGTGTCAATGTGTGTGCTGTCACTCGTCGTCATGGTACCTCTCTCTCGTTGTTACCTGTACAGGTAGACTGTGTCAGTGTGTGTGCTGTCACTCGTCGTCATGGTAACACTCTCTTGTTGTTACCTGTACAGGTGGACTGTGTCAGTGTGTGTGCTGTCACTCATCGTCATGGTAACACTCTCTTGTTGTTACCTGTACAGGTGGACTGTGTCAGTGTGTGCTGTCACTCGCCGTCATGGTAACACTCTCTTGTTGTTACCTGTACAGGTGGACTGTGTCAGTGTGTGTGCTGTCACTCGCCGTCATGGTACCTCTCTCCTGTTGTTACCTGTACAGGTGGACTGTGTCAGTGTGTGTGCTGTCACTCGCCGTCATGGTAACACTCTCTTGTTGTTACCTGTACAGGTGGACTGTGTCAGTGTGTGTGCTGTCACTCGTCGTCATGGTACCTCTCTCCTGTTGTTACCTGTACAGGTGGACTGTGTCAGTGTGTGTGCTGTCACTCGTCGTCATGGTACCTCTCTCCTGTTGTTACCTGTACAGGTGGACTGTGTCAGTGTGTGTGCTGTCACTCGCCGTCATGGTACCTCTCTCTCGTTGTTACCTGTACAGGTGGACTGTGTCAGTGTGTGCTGTCACTCGTCGTCATGGTACCTCTCTCCTGTTGTTACCTGTACAGGTGGACTGTGTCAGTGTGTGCTGTCAGTCGTCGTCATGGTAACACTCTCTCGTTGTTACCTGTACAGGTGGACTGTGTCAGTGTGTGTGCTGTCACTCATCGTCATGGTAACACTCTCTTGTTGTTACCTGTACAGGTGGACTGTGTCAGTGTGTGTGCTGTCACTCATCGTCATGGTAACACTCTCTTGTTGTTACCTGTACAGGTGGACTGTGTCAGTGTGTGTGCTGTCACTCGCCGTCATGGTACCTCTCTCTCGTTGTTACCTGTACAGGTGGACTGTGTCAGTGTGTGCTGTCACTCGTCGTCATGGTACCTCTCTCCTGTTGTTACCTGTACAGGTGGACTGTGTCAGTGTGTGTGCTGTCACTCATCGTCATGGTAACACTCTCTTGTTGTTACCTGTACAGGTGGACTGTGTCAGTGTGTGTGCTGTCACTCGCCGTCATGGTACCTCTCTCTCGTTGTTACCTGTACAGGTGGACTGTGTCAGTGTGTGCTGTCACTCGTCGTCATGGTACCTCTCTCCTGTTGTTACCTGTACAGGTGGACTGTGTCAGTGTGTGCTGTCAGTCGTCGTCATGGTAACACTCTCTCGTTGTTACCTGTACAGGTGGACTGTGTCAGTGTGTGTGCTGTCACTCGTCGTCATGGTACCTCTCTCTCATTGTTACCTGTACACGTGGACTGTGTCAGTGTGTGCTGTCACTCGTTGTCATGGTAACAGTCTCTCGTTGTTACCTGTACAGGTGGACTGTGTCAGTGTGTGTGCTGACACCACTGCAGCCTCGGAGGTGAAGTTGGCGTCAGTGTTCCAGCGGGCGGGCGCTCTGCAGCCGTGCATCCTGCTTCTCAGAAACCTGCAGCTCCTGATCAAACCTCGAGGGGGCGGCGAGGAGGACGGCCGGCTGCAGGCGTCGCTCTGCCAGATGCTGCAGAGCGCCCCCAACAGGTCAGTGAGGAACCTTCTGCACACGCTCAGTGAGCTGCAGAGGAAATGTGATGTTATTTTACTTTGTGTTTCAGTGTGGTTGTCATAGCAACAGTCTGCAGACCTAGGGACCTGTCCACAGGTGTCATGGTGGCGTTTGTCCATCAAGTGGAGTTAGAGAGTCCCTCTGAGGAACAGAGACTCACCATGCTGGTCCACCTGAGCCGAGACCTGAACCTGGGGAGAGACGTGGACCTGCAGAGAGTCGCCAAAGTCTCTGCGGTACACAGACCAGAACAGACCAGAACAGACCATAACAGACCACACCAGACTAGACCAGAACAGACCAGAACAGACCAGAACAGACCAGAACAGACCATAACAGACCACACCAGACTAGACCATAACAGACCAGAACAGACCAGAACAGACCAGAACAGACCAGAACAGACCAAAACAGACCAGACCAGACCAGACCAGACCAGAACAGACCAGAACAGAACAGACCAGACCAGACCAGACCAGACCATAACAGACCACATCAGACCAGACCAGACCAGACCATAACAGACCACATCAGACCAGACCACATCAGACCAGACCAGACCAGACCAGACCAGACCATAACAGACCACATCAGACCAGACCAGACCAGACCATAACAGACCACATCAGACCAGACCAGACCAGACTAGACCATAACAGACCAGAACAGACCAGAACAGACCAGAACAGACCAGAACAGACCAGAACAGACCAAAACAGACCAGACCAGACCAGACCAGAACAGAACAGACCAGAACAGAACAGACCAGACCAGACCAGACCAGACCATAACAGACCACATCAGACCAGACCAGACTAGACCATAACAGACCAGAACAGACCAGAACAGACCAGAACAGACCAGAACAGACCAAAACAGACCAGACCAGACCAGACCAGAACAGAACAGACCAGAACAGAACAGACCAGACCAGACCAGACCAGACCATAACAGACCACATCAGACCAGACCAGACCAGACCATAACAGACCACATCAGACCAGACCAGACCAGACCAGACCAGACCATAACAGACCACATCAGACCAGACCAGACCAGACCATAACAGACCACATCAGACCAGACCAGACCAGACTAGACCATAACAGACCACATCAGACCAGACCAGACCAGACCATAACAGACCACATCAGACCAGACCTTTCATGCTGATCAGCTGTGATCTTCATGTTGTCATTTGTCTTCTTGTGTAGCTGTTGATGTTGGTCTCGGGGGTCTCGGGGGCCTCGTGGGTCTCGGGGGTCAGTTCCTCAGACGGTTTGTGTTTTCTCTTCAGGGTTTGGTTTTGGGGGATCTGAGCGCTCTGATGGTGGAGGCAGGCAGAGCCGCCTGCAGGAGACTCACCTGGTGAGACTGAGGACTCAAATCAAAGTATGTCTGTGATCAGATCATCTGGTAACTCTCCTGACTCTCCACTGCAGTGTCGCTCGGCAGGAGGCGGACCTGTGCTCAAGCGGAGTGACCATCATGAACCAGGACTTCAGCTCCGCCCTCCAGACGCTGCAGGATGCTCAGTCCACCGCCATAGGAGCCCCAAAGGTCAGCAGACCCAGACCAGAGGTCCACCCCTCTAAATATCTGAGGGCCTGATTTACTAAGCTTCCAATTAAAGAGTACTAAATTGTGTGTTCACTCCAAAAGTTTGCATACTTTAGAGTTATAGGAGATAAATCTGAATGTTACAAAGAACATGTGGTTATAAGAAAACCTGGGCATTAAACAGGACCTCTCTTTTCTTCATCTTAAGAAGATGAAGTGTCATACATTGAGCAGGAGGTGTGAGCTGTGTCCTCTGTGGCGCTCAGGCGCGACACTCGGCACATTGTTGTGCAGCAGACAGCTGGTCAGCGCTGTGTCTGATCGGACATGAATGATCTGGAAAGAGGTATCGAAGACAGGGGTACAAACAGTGGTGAGGTCCCCCAATCAAAGCGTCCTACAGAGTAGCAGCAGCTTTAGAGGGAGGAGATGAGCGCATTATGGAGAGGAGCGCACCGCAGGGGGCAAGCTGGAGGAGAGACGCACGACCCGAGAAAAAGGAAATCCCAGTTTAACATATAATGTTGGTGAGAAGAGGGAAATAGGAAGAAATAAATGTAAATGTTGAAATTCTATAGAATGCAGAGGCTGTGAATGTTCAGTTTTTTTTGGCAACAACAGCCTGTAGTTTAATCACGGTGTTTCTCTTCCTTAACGATTAGAATACTGAATCAAATTAAAAAATAAATGCATGACATTTATTTTTCTGTCATTTGAAACATGTAAACACATGTGGAGAATAACGTGATCTGTATGCCTTCTTTGATTGAGCCTATGTCTCCTCCTAACTTCAATAACAGCAGCCTGTTGTGTGTAACACTGGTCTCCTGGATTAGCACGTTCTTTTTAAAGGCGTTAAATTCAGACACCGTCACCATCACCTCAGTTTTTGTCAGGTTTGGTAAATCACAATGTGTGTACTAACTTCACTTGTTTGTATTTTCTCCTTCCAGTATTTTGCACGTTAGGACAGAAACGTCCCATATTGAGTATTCATTAAGTCAAACGTCCTAAATGGACAATGCGTGTTGTTTTG